CTTTACCTGCTGAGCCATGGCTGTCATTTCTAGTAAAGAGGTGGTTAGATCCAGAGGCTTGATCAAGATCAGATTTGACTTTTGGCTGGACGGCTTCATAAATGGTATGTGTGTTTCCATTAGGAGGCACAAATTATTTGACCACACTTTTGTGAGGTTAGTGGTCACTACTGATCATTGTCTGGGTCCTTAATCATTGTGGGATAAAAATGGTGATATTGTATCACTCCTCTTTATTAGCTGGAATAGTTAAGTTCCAAAGGTAACTACAGTTTTGTAAACTATCATTATTAATTCATACAGTAAAACAATTTTGGCCAATGAAAATTTCCTCAAGATGCTTCCTGAATCTTTTCTGATAGACCTCTAGTCTGACAGACCTCCTTGCTTTCTGGTATGACAGTGCTTTTTCTCGGCTCTACATACACATTTCTTTCCCTATACCTGGAATTAGCCAGTTATTCAAGGAAGTCAGCTTTCTTTGAAGACAGTGGTATTTAGAGACCAAATAAGGACACTACTTTTCACTTTCATTTGGGTTTTGTCCAAAGCTAACAAAGTCAACTAAGCAGGAGTCCTACTATTGTTTCTAATAAGTCCACATGGCTACATGCATGTGAATGTTTAACCAGAGGGCTCTCAGATTTTAATAAATTATCTATATAATATGCTAATATATGTTAATGGAAGAAGCATAACTTGGAACATATTATCTGGAAGACAGCATCATTATTTTTATCAGCCTTTAGAAAGTCTTTAACTCACTTTTAATTCCACTTTTAGGAATTTATTTCATTATTTGGCTTAGAATTTTCCTTAAAGGATTACTTAAAATAATGAACAATCTAAAAACCTCAATGTCCAAACAATAGGTTTTTTTAAATGTATAATACATCCATAGAATGAAATATTTACAGTCATTAAAATTATGTAGATACAATATCAATATATTGTTAAATAAGAAAGCTACATAGAAAAGTGTTGAAGACTATATCCCAAAATGTTAACAATATAAACTGAGCTATTCTCATGTTTCCAATGCTGGTTTAGGATTTGGCTTCCCAGGATCTGCCAAGTCAGACACTACTTCTCCAAATGCTCTCCAGTCTCCAAAACGCTATTCTTGTTATCTCCAGTATTCCTTATCCTTGTTGGATATGATCTTTTCTTTCCCCAATCACTGTGATTTTAGCAGAAATTTTAGGAAAAAACAGAGGCAGATAAGTATTTTGCTCTACCCTCCATTTTTACCTAGCATTGCACTGTTTTTCACAAGAGAGATCAATACTCTGAAAAGCTTATCAATTATAAAACATAAATTTCTACTGAAAATAGTTCATACATGTTTGCATTTAACATACACAAATAATACAGTAGTGCAGAAAACAAGGGTTCACTTGTATCCTAAAGGTTTGTATACAGAAATGAGAATGGAAAAACTAAACTGGTAATAAACAGAAAAAGATTTGAATGGAAGTTGTTTTTAAATGAGAACATAAAACCAGAAATGCTGAAACTGAAGCTGAGTTCTGTAAGGCAAACTGATTATCCTTTTTGCTACTTAGGAAACTACAATTTCTTGCAACTTTAGTGACTTCTCTGAAGAATAACTGTCCCTGGCAGCTGCTTTAAAGCTAAATCCAAATTGCTCTCTAGTTTTTGGAGACCTTGACTCTTTAAATCTGGATAAGGAACATCATTTCCTAAACCCCTGAAGATGGGCTGTCCAGTTTTATAATGGACTTACCACACTTATACTTTCACTTAGAAATACTTAGGAAATTAAAAGCCTTCCCAAGAACAAGAACCCATAATTGCACAGCTGCCATGGACGCTAATCCCACCTTTGGAGAAATAATAATCCTTAGGTCTTAAAATGTACAGACCACAGGGACAGATATAAGAACTTGAGAGTGGTTTGCTCAGTTTGGAGAAATCTTCAGTTTTCACTAGTCTGTGAATATAACAAAAACAAAGTACCCAAAGCACAAACTGCTGAAGACACCTCAGAAAACAAGACTGATCAGATAAAGCTGCCATTCCCGAACTGTATATTTTCTGACACGATAAAGGGCACTAGTCCAGAAAGTTTAATAATTTATTCTATGGCTGATTTAATCTAAACAAAATTTAAATATGTAGTTGTAAGTAAAAATAGCAAACTTGCAATCATCCAACTTAATATCGATAGCTTAATAAACATAGTTAAACATAATATATATTTTGAGGTTTCTGAATTAAAGTAAAAAGTATTGCATGTCTTTACTCACTTAACAAATACTACTTATTTAAACTGGCCTCAATATATTAAAAAAATAACTTGGGTTTGGGGTAGATTATTCTGTGCAGGGCACTATATTCTGGGCTTACAATTCTTTTTCTAGGTAAGGCTGAAATGTCAAGTCTTCTTACATGCCATGAATTTGACAAAGCAGGAAAACATGGCTCAAATTTTTAAAATACACTTACCATCAAACTCAACTTTTAAAATAAATGAAGTACTTAGCATTCAAAACTTTGGAGAATATATATAAGACCACAGTTTCCAAAATGACTCAGCTCTTCCTCTAAGACACGTTTAAGCACTCTGAATACTGATTAGAAATAATGCAAAGCAATTGAGATTAGTTAAATGTTTTTCAAATGTTCACTGTGTACAGAGAGAGATCTAATCACAAAATTTTTACATGAAGTCCTAACTAAGAATAAAGATATCTATACTGTGTGGCAAGAGGCAATTCCCTTTCTGCTTAACCATCTCTTTCATTTAGTAAGGAAAGGCTGCCTTGCGGGACGCTTCTTTTGATAGTTCTCAGAGTTCAAAGAGTATGAAACCTTCAAGTGGATTTCATCAAGTCTATTTATTAATGCATTTCAAGTTTCAAAAAACCTTACATCTTTGCACAATACTTTATTTTTTGCAATTTTTAGTAAAAATTTCCAAAGTGAACAAAAAGATACTGTATAAAACACAGTGGACATTAAACTGACAGTAGTATTAGATCTCACTTGTCTTGATCCTTTTGTTTTACCACATCTTGATTTGGAGTGGAAAGAGTTCAGTGCACGTATCTCTTTTCAGAAAACATTTAACTTAGACTCAAAATAAAATAGGGCAGTTGTGTACCTGCCAAAACCCTACCACAGGATAACATTTCAAGCAAAAAATGTACATGTTCAAAGTCTAGCACACTCAAGAAGTTACTAAGAACTCTGGCGGAGTAAAAGTCACCATTTTAGAAATGCAAACCCACTTCCAACCTTTGCACAGTCCAAAAACAAAGGCATTTAAATGATTTAAAAGCAATTACATACATATCTACCTACTTGTTTGTTTAGAATTATTTATAGTCTATCTGGGGTTTCATGTACAAAATTTGTCTCTAAATCATGTACAAAAAGCTGTATTTTGAAAAAAGTCACCACATACTGTACAAGTTTACAAGGAAGAGATCCCATTATTTTCTCTAGCATTTTTGGCCTTGCTGGCTTGCGTCACATTATGAGAATGATTGTGTAAACCTTATACTCTTAAGAAAAAAAGGAAAAAAAAAAAGCCAAACACAAATCGTTTCAACTTTACCTAAATTTGCCTCCTATGTGAAGCCAGGAAAATCATAGCTGTTTACTTCTAATTTAACGTGATGTAGTTGGAAAACAGAAGCAATAAATATGTCACAAGCTTAAAAGTTTTTTTTGTAATGCCCCCTTCCATTCCTGCATAGCAATAAGCCTGTTAATACATTAAATGCTTTTGACTTCTTTCTTTAAAAAGCCAATTATTTACACTTGTTTAAAAAATAAATTTGGAATGGGACATTGTGCTGTTTCACCTTCATTGCTGATAAAATATCTTAGGGAAAAAAAGTGTCGGAAAGCCTATCTACAATTTTAACTACTAGTTGAGCAAATCACTCCTCTTTAGTGGTTACCAATGATCATGATGATATGCTGAAAACTCTGTTCAAATATCTTGATAAAACAGACACACAGCTTTTCTTTTCCATATCAGACAAAACCCAAAACATAATTAGCATACAAATAAGAGGCTGCAAATAAAAAGAATCATTTCATTGACCTAACTGCTACCAACATGAATAAAAATTTCACCTATCAATTCAAAAATGGAATTGAATTAGAAAGTTTAAAATAAGTAAGCAGAAATCAGACATTTACATAAAGAACTAAGTCTGAAGTAGTAGTATGCTGCATATGTCCAGTTTTCACAACACTTAACTGTGTTCTTCAGTGTCGTCAATCCTGTGCTCTTAGCAGCCGTTTGATAAAACAAAACGAATATCAGAACCAACTCCATCATGAGGAAAAGGTAAACTGATTCTCTTCTCATAACTGCCCATGTAAAGCATGACAGAATCCTGGACCACTGAATACCACCATTCTCTGTTATCCTGAGTATGTCAATTAACAGTAATTTTTCATTAAGAGCGGAAAAATTTTATAATACAAAGAAACATCCATATTGCAATTTCTGTTTACAATTGCACACAGAAGTACAGTGTACGTAAGAAATAACATGTCTGCATATAACAAGGTATGTACATTGGCAAGTGATGTCTCCAATGTTGAGGTGGTAGAGCCTCCTAGCCTTGATTGGCAGTTGAAAAAAATATATATATTTAAATTTGTGATAAAAGTTTATCGAGAGCCAAGTTTGCCTGCAAGTGAAGAAAATGCAGCAACGAAGAACAGGGAACACGGGGCACATAATAATATTCTAAGACTTTGTGCCATTAGGTTAAAAATATCTGTCTATAAGAAAATGGGGTTCCTTTTTTTTTCACATCCCACCCCCAAATTGGAATTTTCAGGCTTTAAAATTTAAGTAATTCCACCTGATCTGAGGACATGATCTCTTGCCATTTTTTTTCTTCTACTGTTATTTGTGAGGGTTTCATTTGGGGATGATGATTTAACAGGTTTCTCTTTGGAGTGAAGTTTTCCCATTGTAGGCACTAGGAAGAACCAAGGCAAAAGCTGAGTTAACGTCTCATGTGTCCCATCTGATAACTCTCCCGGGGCCTCTGACGCTGGGGCTGTTGAATGGGCTGGGGAGGTCTTCTCCTCTTTAAAGTGCCTGTGGGTCACAAACAAAAGCAAAAGAGGTTTATCACCAGAGTTTCAATCTTTTAAAGACAAAGTTGCCATTTCAATAAATGGACAGACCAGCTCTGTCCAAAACAAATACAGTATGAGCCGCATACATAATTTTCTATTTTCTGGTAGCCATAATGAAAAAAATAAAAGAGAGCCAGGTAAAATAATTTCAATAATGTTTTGATTTCATTAACCCAATATAGCCAAAATATTAAAAATTATTAATAAAATATTTCATCTTAAAAATACTAATTCTTCAGAGTTTGGTAGGCATTTTATATTTACAATACATCTCAACTTAGACTAGCCACATTACAAGTGCTAAACAGCTACAACTATCAGATTAGTAAGGATTCTGAGGACAGACTCCATGAGGAAGAAACTGCTGGGTATCTTTGAGCAAATGACTTAACCTCTCTGAAGCTCAGATGACTAGTCTGTAAAACAGACAATTAACTAACTCATATAGTCTGTTGTGAGGATTATATGATAATTCATGTAAAAGTGCTCAACATCTTTTGTGAGGGTTCAATAAACAGCAGTTAAGAGCTGGCATTTTCTTAAAATGAAATTAAGTTAAAGAACTTTCCTTGAATGAGAATAATGTAGTCTCATTCAATAAAATGAACTGGTAGTGTAGTTAAAAAGTATCATGTGGCCCTTGGAAATCCCTAAGAAACTAACAAAAGTTTCTGACTCCTAAAGCAGTAATTTTGAAAAGCTATGACATCGAAATCAAATTTCCTCTGCTTACCTCCAAGATATTATCCCAGCATGACTACTGTTAAGTCTCTTACCTTAAGATAGGGAAATACAGGAGAACAACTGAGGGAAAATTATAAGAAAGCCCTAGTTTTAAACAACTTTATGTAGGGCAGTGGATTTGGCCTGAGGCAAGAGGCTTCAAAAGGCGAAGTTGAGTGGGAGGCAGGAGAGGGAACCCTGGGATGGTGCCCGCCCTTGAACACACAAGAACAGAGTCCAAGGGTCCTGAAGAAAAGGGTAGAAGGGATACCCAGCCTGGGGAGGAGGAGGGAGAAATAGGCGGGGCCTAAATAATTTGTTAAGTGGATTTCTTACCCTTCTCCAAATCCATGAAATGAAATGAAAAGTCACTCAGTCATGTTCAACTCTTTGCGACCACATGGACTATATCCATGGAATTCTCCAGGCCAGAATACTGGCGTGGGTAGCCTTTCCCTTCTCCCGGGTCTCTCATCTAAAGATCATTCCCATCTCTCATCTCCTCCCAGCCCTGGCTCCCTGAGAGGTAAAGGTGGAGATAAAATCTTAGGAGTTGTTTTCAGAGATGGAGAATAACTACAGTTGTTTGGTAACTGAAGCCTCTACCCTAAGACTCTCCCACAGACTGGAATCTGTATGCCCCCACAAGAGAAACCTGTATTTTTCCCTAGGGAAAATAAGTCTATGTGCCAGAATATATTTCAGAAGCATGAATACAAAACCCATAACTGAAGCATAGCTGTTGGAAAGACAATTGTTTAAAAGTGGCAAAAACCACTACAATATTGTAAAGTAATTAGCCTCCAACTAATAAAAATAAATGGAAAAAAAAAGAAAAAAAAAGTGGTCTATCATAATAAAACCAAAAAGGGAATATTTTACTATTTTTTTTAAAAAAGGATATATTAGCATTAAATCAGCAGCCATAAGCTAGACTGGGTTGATTGGAAAAAAAAAAAACAAAAACACACTTAAAAATCAACTAAATAATCCATCTTAGTAACCCCATTCTCAAGGAGAAAGTACTATAAATCAACTACTAAAGACTCCTTTATAATTCAGTTCTACTTGCGAATGGTTCTGAGTAATAAAAATATATACCTTAAAAAATATATATATTTATATATACACCTTCCTCAAATTGTCTTACCTGGAAGAGGTTTAGGAGGAGGCAACTTTGGATTACTACTTGGAGTATGTACACTGCATATCTTAATAAAACCAGCCATTAACATGATCAGGGCAATTCCCATAAGTAATACTGCCCACCAATAAGCCTAGAAATAAAAAGACATTTTCCAATGAAAAAACCATAAAATATTTTAGAATAGTCTGTACTATATAAAATATATAATAGGATATATTACATTTGAATTTTTAAACAACATTTGTTCACTGGGTGTCGACAGCTATCACATAAAAGCACATATATATTAATTTCTTTAAATGTAAAAAAGTGCAGAGGAGGAAAGAAAAATCACCCATAATTTCACTTCCTAGAGGAAACTACTCAATCTTATTTTCATTTCAGTTTCTTTTTCTGTATAACTATGCTTGTTATACACACAGAAAACTCATGTGCAAAACTGGGCTCATCCCACACATGGTTTATATTGTATTTTCCCATGTTACTAAATATTTTCTGATTTAAATATTTCCTTCCTTTCTTTTGCCTGTTACTCTTATAGACTTTGCTTTTTATACTCTCCAGTGACTTAGAAGATATATAGCTTGCTTTAAAGTCTACTAGATTTTTAAAATATTCTTTAACCTATCAATTTTTCTAATCATCAAAGCTAAGACTGAAACTCTATCTTTTCTGAGGCCCCTCTTTCCTGTTTCTCTATTTCATTAGGAACTCTAGTCTTAGGCTACCATTATTAAATTATTTTTATACAATCTATCTTAGTTTTCATTATATATATATAATATCTATTACATATATATTCATTTATTTAAAGGTCAACTGCCTTCTTTAACATGAAAAGTGGAAGGATACACACATGCTAGAAGCAAGCAAAGTTCACCTCTAAGAAGGTACTGAAGTTTCACTTCCAACTTAAATCATATTAGATCAATTAGCCAAACAAAAAAACTTCAAAAATTACTGGCATAATTTATAGAAAAATTATGCTGCCATTCTTAATAAATCCTAAATCTATTTTGCAATTCCAAATATTCAAATTTTGTCTTAAGACAGCATATAATAAACACCATACAAAATATTAACAATTAGAAAACTATGAACCTTATATTATTAAAATGCATACATAGTTAATGTTAATTTTGCCAATAAAACTCACATTTAAGAAGAGTTACTATGATCCAGGGCCTTACAACAAACAGGCTACTACTTCTAGACTTTCTTTATCCAGTAGTGACAATACAATTAAAGAAATAAAAGCTAAAACAAAACTGAATGTTGTGGCCAAACACCCCAAGCCACCTACTTTCCCCATGTGTGTATAAATTTATACATACATATAAATTTGTTTAATTCTGAAAGAACCCCAAACTTACAGAAAAGTTCCAAGTACAATACAAAGAAGCTTTTAAAATCTAGAACCATCTAAGAGTAAGCTGTTTCCATGATGTCCTATTACACTTGAACAATTCGACATATAGTTCCTACAATCTATGGGTATTTTTCCTAGATGATCATAATATAATCATCAAAATCAAGAAACTGGTATTGTTACATTAGTACCACTAAATCCTCTGACCTACTCATTCACGTTTTGCCATTTGTCCCAATACTATCCAATTCAGACCCATGCTGCCTTCAGCAGTTGTGTTTCTTTAGTCTCCTGCAATCTGGAAATAATCCACAGTCTTTGCAGTTTATATAACTTGGACACTTTTGAAGATTACAGGTCAGTTATTTTGCATTGGACTGTCCCTCAATTTGGGTTTCTCAGATGCTTCTCCATTATTAGATTCAGGTCACACATCTTTAGTTAGAGTATCTCAAAAATGATGCTTTATTCTCATTGCATCTGATCATGTGACACACGACTTTGACCTCATTACTGAAGATGGTTTACTTGACCACTTCATCAAGGTGTAAACTGCCAACCTTGACCAAAAAGATACTCTTCTCTTTTGCAGTCAATGAGTATTTCATACAGACATAATTTAGAACTAAGTAAATATTCTATTCCTTATAAAACTTACAATTTATTCATTTGTTTATTCCGTCTCGGTTTCCTATTTTCCTGAATGGTTATAATCCATTACTATCATTATTATATCTTTTGGGTCTGTCCTCACCATTCTCTGAGTACTGAAGCTGGCATGAGGAGTTCCAGATCCATCTTATTCTTTCCCTGCCCCAGCCCGGGAATCAGCCATTTCTCCAAGGAGCCCCAGTTTCTCTTAGAACTGCCCTTCCTAAGCAGACAATTTCCTCTCAATACTCAATACCCTGTGCCAGGACAGCTCCCCTCACCAGGCAGGGACACCTCGCCTGCTTGGCGTCACCTAACTGCCTTTAGGGATGAAGTGTTCAAGAAAGGAGACAGTAAGGGGTGATGCGGTTCAGCCTTGCTGCTGAAAGAGTTGATCTTTCAAGAGATGCTACAAATCTGAAGTTTTATATGAAATCTGCTTTTAAATGCTGACAATTCATTCAAAATTTCTAAAAACAACAGGTAGACCATACAAGACACACGTGCTGGGTCGAATGTGGCTCGGAAACCAGAGTTTACAATCTACTTTTCAGAAGCCATTTCTTATATCCTCCTGCGAGTGCCAGATAGTTTCCTAAATTTTTCTTTTGTTTTCTATAGAAAATAATTTTCAGAGGACTGTTCCTCCCTGTGAGTCTTTAGGATAATATACTCTTTCTGTTGTTAAATAAATCTCCCATTGGATCCAGTTGTTCTTCCTGTTTTATTCATCCTCAAATAACAGAACTGCTACTTATCAAAAGGCAGGGTTTAAGTCCTGTTGTTAGTCTTTCAACTCGAGTGCAGGCTCATTCCTCTTTTCATTTCTGCCTACTGTCACATACACATAGCTTTTGTCCTATTCCAAGCGTCCAGAAGCTTTTGAAATGTGGCATTTAAAGCAGTAAGACATCCTTCGACCTTTCCTGTCTGCAACTCTGACACTCTGACCTAGTAAAAGACATCAGGGACCAAAACCACCAGCTTGTCCTGCTAAAGCGCTCTTCCTGCACTATAACAGAGATCTGCAACCTTGGCCACACAGTAGAACTACCTGGAAAGCTTTTAAAACTCAGTTACCCGGGCCCACTCCAGTATTCTTGCCTGGAGAATCCCATGGACAGAGGAGCCTGGTAGGCTCCAGTCCACGGGGTCGCAAAGAGTCGGACACGACTGAGCAACTTCATTTTACCTGGACTAAATCCCAGATTCCGATAGGGTGGGGGTAGATCCTGACATCGGCAATTTTGTTAAAGCTGCCCACATGATTCCATTATGTAGCCAAAACTGAGAACTACCTGTTTCTACCAACAAGGGTCAGCAAACTTTTTCTATAAAAGGGCAAACAATAAATATTTAGGCTTTGCGGACCATATGATTCAGTCAAAACTATTCATATCTGCCACTGTAGTACAAAATCAATCACACATAAGAAACAAACAGGTGAGTGTGGTTGTGTTCCAGGAAAACATTATTTACAATTCAATGCGCTGGTGTAGGGCCCAGGCAACTGCATTTTAAACGAACATGCCTGTGACCAGCATGCAGATGAGTGCTTCTTAGTGTAGACATGCTGGCACTGTGGGAAGGACCATTTTGAGCAATGCAGGGAGTCTAGCATACATGGCTCTCATCCATCAAATGCCATCAGAATCCCTCAGCTGCTCTGACAACTACTGTATATTTCCAAATATCCTCTGGAAAGGCAGTATCACTTCTAAATGTGATTCAATCCAAAGGACAAAGAGGCAAGGATCTTCCTACTACTTTCAGGCTGGTGAGCTAGGCCTGTTTCAGGAGACGCACTCCCATTCCTAGTATTCATTATATTCTCTAACACATTTCCTTCCTTCCAGTCTTCACTGCTGAAAACCATTCCACATGGTCGTCAGTGTTACAGTTACTTAAAACATGGAATTACATCACTCCTCTATGTAAAACTTTTCTTCAAAAGCTTCCCACCAAAGATCTCCAAGATAAATAAGTGGGAAACAGAAAAAAACAAAACCTGTGCATGCAATGAACTGCAGCCCAATATACATATAATTCTGCTTGTTTTTTAAAACTGTATTTTCCTGTAAAAATACAGCTTCTGAAAAATATATAAGAAACTCATCTTGAGAAAACCGGGCACAAGAGTAAAAAGAAGGCTTACTTTTCAATGTATTACTCTATCAATTAAAAAAAAAAGGATAATCACACTTTTCAAAAGGAAAAAAGTGCAAAAATATTATTTAAATTAGTTCATACTCTGGTTACTTTTCAGGTGCTCCCTCTTCTAAAACATCTACCTGTCCCTCTACTTCTACTAGCCCTTAAGAACTTAGCTTTGGCATCACCTCCATAAAGAAGCCTTCCCCAAATAGGTTCTCTATTTCCTGTGACAATGATGCACAACTGAAAATATGTTTCTGTGTGCTTACCTTCTCTATCCCAAACTGGACTGAGAGCTTTTCGAATTTATATTCTATAAACTCAGTACCTACTCTACCAGAAAGTATCCACTGGACTAGTTATTAACACATGAATCATTACTCCAAATACTGACTTTTCAGAACACTTCTACCAGCTCATTTATTATATCTAGATTTCCCACACATACAAATAATGTAAAAGGCTCTTACAACACAGAACATAAAAAATTATGGTTCAATACCTCTTCTGATACCAGTTTTTCAGTACCTACACAGTCTTACATAGAAATGCAAGTGGTATGGCAATAAGAAAAGCAGACTAGAAAGAAGAAACTTGAATTTAATGCTTGTTATAAGTTTGCAGAAAAAAAAGGTCAAAAAGACCAAGTCCCAGCTGAGATTAAAGACATTTGTGAAAATATGGCACTTAGGTCTCTGAGTATTTGAGGTCCCTTCTAGCATTGTTCCTGGTCTTCCTCTAAAATCTGCCAGGTAACTACATAATTCAAAAGCCCAAAGCTTGAGATGTTTTCATGACAATAATAGTAGCTTTTCAGAAACTGAATACCACAATGGATAGAAGATAGCAAGAAAAAAACCAAAGCAATAGTGCATTTGAGAGTGTTAATAAATATGGCCACCACAGGTAGAGGAAATTTTTTAAATGCTTCCTTTAAAACAGAATTATCAGAAAGC